TATTCATACTACTGTTTATATTCACACTATTGTTCATATTCATACTACTGTTTATATTCATACTACTGTTCATATTCATACTACTGTTCATATTCATACTACTGTTTATATTTCACTACTGTTGATATATATATTTTTACTAGCCTTATTGCATAGTCACTTTACCTATACCAATATCAAGGACTTCATCCATTTCCTCTGTACATTCACTTCATATGCTGCTGTACATATTGCAGTTTTGACAATAAAGTGACTTTGAAACTGAGAAATATTTTTGTTTAAAATGTTATCTGTTAGCAAAATATCTCATGAAGCACTGGATGGATTTTAATAAAACTCTTGAAATGCAATTGCTGGATATCCATCTACAAATGTTTAACTTTTGGAGTCAACCCACTTCATGATGTCCACCCCTGGTCTTTAACATTAGTCGAAACAAAAATGGCTATAACCCAAGCAATTTTTAAAATATCGAGCTAAAATTTGTTGTGGTAGTAGCTAAAAGTTATACTCTGAGTTTGACTTCTTGCAGTGTCGCATTTGTATCCAAGGCTACTAGGTTTGATCAAAACATCTATTTCTCATGGTAAGGTGATCTACAGTCTAAAACTCTGGAACGAAAAGGCAGCAGGCGATGCGAGTGTCTTCAAGGAATGCTATTACTTTAACTTAAAACTGCCTAAATTAGTATTTTGCATATATCAAATTCAAAACAAATCATCGATCTCTGCCACCTAAACCGTTTTCAAGATGAAAACAAAAGTAACATTTTAAGATGCGACAGCTGATCTCCCTCTGTATCTTTTGGCTGTGTTTCATGACAGACGTTTTAGTTGACACAAATGAGTTTGCACGGTTTGCTGGCTCACGTGGATACGCCGGAGGAAGCTCGATGTAGTAAACGATCGAGTCGTGATGAGAACCGGGCTGTAACTCTGGTCCTGTAATACCAAAAGAAAAGGGATAAATGATGTCACAAGACTCAAAAGTGTAGAACTATGGGTTTGTTCTTGTTTGCAGTTACCATTCTTGACTTTATTGTCGGCTAAAATGTTTTCATAAGTTCTTTGGAGCTCAGTCTTCTTTCCATCCAGTTCTTTCAGCTCTTTGTCGATATCATTTATCTCTTTTTGTGTTGCAGCTGCTTCTTCTGGTGGTAAAAAAATATATAAGTCACAGAATAAAAAACAAGGAATGACTTTTATTCATCAGGTTTATTTTCCTCTCTTTTGATGTCACCTGTTTGGCCGAACTCGGCACGTTTCCTTAACTCTTGAAATATGCAAAGAATTTTCCTTCTCTCCTCGAGCTGTTGCTTCTTCAGAGCAATGTGTTTCAGATCTGTAAATATGTCTGGAGCAGTCATGACGACAGCTGAAACAAAGGGAAGGCGTTGAACGTTATCTGTCAGGTCACATATTTTAGGGCATGTATTGGCTGTGGTTATTTTGTGAGCGAGCAATTGCAAATAAACCTAGAGCGCCCTTTCGTTTATTGATGCCCTTAGAGAAGGAGATGAAAATTTGTAACTTTAAAAAAAAAAAATCATTGGACTATAAGGGGCACTGGATTATAAGGCGCATTAAGCGAAACTAAAATATTTTGACAGATTTTTGAGCGCTGTGTACCACATCAAATCGGTTCGAGGTCACCAGAATCAATACATAAGGAGCACTGGATTGTAAGGCTCACTGTTGATTTTTGAGAAAATTAAAGGCTTTTAAGTGCGCCTTATAGTCCAAAAAATACGATACATACCTTTTGGAATTAATCATACAGACTTAAAGCCATTACATTACTTTTTTTTCCCTCCACAACCTGGGTGTGACCATGAGATTGTTATTGTTAAATTCTGTTTTTTCCAACTGAGGCGACTTTCTAAACTGAAGCCCATATTGTTCAAAGATAACCTGGAGACAGTAATACATGCATTCATTACATCTAGGCTTGATTACCGCAACTTGCTCCTGTTTGGTATCAGTCAGACCTCCATTGCACGACTACAACTGGTTCCGAATGCAGCAGCCCAATTTTTAACTAGTACAGGCAAAAGAGAGCACATTACACCAGTTTTGGCCTCACTGCATGGCTACTGGTTTATCTTCGTTCGAATCCAGTTCAAAACACTTCTGTATGTCTACAAATCGCTGAACAGTTTCGCGCCCCCCTATCTCTCTGATTTGCTACAACCGTATGTCCCACCATGTTCTCTGAGGTCAACGGACCAGTTGCTCCTCACAGTTCCAGGAACTCGTCTTAAGTGCAGAGGTGGCAGGGCCTTCTCTGTCGCAGGACCAAGACTTTGGAACGAGTTACCTCTGCTTGTCAGACAGGCCCCCTCCCTCTCGGTTTTCAAATCCCGCTTACAAACCCACTACTACCGCCGTAGCTTTCAACACCAGATGATCTGTGTATGAACCTGTTTGCTTCACACAGGTTAGTTGTCATATTTATTATCTGCAACGTTTTTATGTCTATATTCTGATTTAACTTCATTTTTGTATGTTGCTTTGTGTGTTGCCTGTTTTTCTGTCTATACAGCACTTTGGTTGGCCTTGCCGCTGTTTTAAGTGCTCTATAAATAAAATGGTATGGTATGGTATGGTATGGTATGGTATGGTATGGTATGGTATGGTATGAGATGTGACATAAGGTGCCATTAGAGCTCATCCTGTACATTGAACAAGCTTTTAAACGTTGATTTCTTTGACATAAATCATCATGCAAATTACTGTGAAAAAATATTAAAGTACATAATTTTGTTCTACCTTGCTTCTTCTGTGATATTTCGGTCACAACTTTACTATTTATTTTCAGACTATTAGATTTTTTTGTCTCGTTTCAGTAATATAAAGGTGCATGTTAATTGTTTTTTCTCCTAATTTGCTTCATCACCATCAAAACGGTGCAGACTTAACTTTTCCATGTTTCACTTAAACTGCTTTAAATTCTAATAGCTTCATCAGTTCAGTTAACATGTTTGGTCTGTTTAAAGTATACAGGTGCATGTAAAAAAAAAATCAGAGTATTGTGAAAGTGAAATATTTCAAGCCTTTATGTAAATATGTAATGCTGATTATGTCTTACAGATCATGAAAAAAACAAAACTCTGTGTCTCAGAAAATTAGAATATTCCACAGCTTTTGGTTCATTTACAGGTCTCTCTTGTAAATGAATCCTCAAGGCTCCATGAGACTAACGTGTATAAATAAAGGTTGAATGAATGGTACCTTTGGCAGTGTGGGCAGGAGCAAAGCCCTGCTGGAAAATGAAATCAGCTTATCCATAAATCATCAGCAGAAGGAAGCATGAAGTCTCTAAAATGTCCTGTGTGGACTTCAGAAAACACAGTGGATCAACACCAGCAGAGGACAGGGACCCAAAACCACCACTGACTGTGGAAACTTCCCACTGGACTTCAAGCAACGTGGACTCTTGGACCTTGATTTCCAAATGACATGAAAATGTATTTTCATCTGGAAAAAGACATTGAACCACTGAGCAACAGTCCAGTTCTCCTCAGCAGGTAAGACACTTCTGATGTCTCTGGTTCGGGAACTTCAGACTTGAGGAATGAAACATTTGTAGCCCATGTCCAGGAGGTAATCAGCTGATTAGGATGCAACACCAGGAGTTTAAAATGTTTTCATTTTCCGAGACACTGAATTTTAGTTTTTCATTACTTGTAAGCCATAATCATCAAAATTACAAGAAATAAAAGCTTAAAATATTTCACTCTATATGTAACAAATTTATATGTTTCACTTTCTGAAATGAACTTTTCACAATATTCTAATGTTTTTTAGATGCAACTATTAGAAAGCAAATTTTAGCTTAAAAACCAAGGCTTGTTATTTTACCTGTTGTGTCATGTCAAAGCAAAAAATAAATAAAAAAATCCATAAACCAACTAATGAATTACATTTGTAATAAAAAAGAATTAAAAAAACATAGGCTAGAAAAAGAACAGTACTAATAAAACATATTTTTAAACAATTATCTCTATAAAGTGTTGTAAAAAATAAACCTGTAGAAAATTCCAGTACTGTATTACCCAACCGCTTCCGCTGTCTCTGCCGTGTCCTCTGTGGGTAACATGACAGGAACTGAACAAAAGAACACTGTTCCTTTTTATCAGGAAATATGCAAATTATTAGGTGGAATTTATAACTGCTCTTTATGATGTAATTGAAACACAAAAATAAAAAATACTGAAGTTTAATTTATGTAGAATCATTAAACAAAATCTACTGAGTATATATATATATATATATATATATATATATATATATCTGTATATATATATATATATATATATATACAGCCCAAAGTTTTTCTGCCCCAACATCTTCAATAGCCTTTTTTAAAAACAGTCTCAGTACAGGGATTAGATCAAGAAATATACTACAAAATAACATAATAATAATAAAAACAGGGTTTATTAGTGTAAAGTCATTGTCTAATCTAGAAACTTGACAGCACTGTTCGATTCTGCAGGAAGATGCGTTTTTTTCCTCTTATGTGAGGAGGTGACGTCACTTTTTCCTCAGTTTTTTCATGAACGTCACCTCATCTCGGTTTCTGATCCCGTAACTGAAAACACAAAAACATCAAAATTAAAGAGCTCGAGTTTCTTGAAGGAATGCACATCACCCTCTGCCTTTCACACCAGTTTTAGACTAACGTAATTGAGAAATTGGGAAGTTGAAACCATTTTGCTCCAACTTTTGACATTGGTGTTGTGCGCTAATGCAAGATCAAGCTCAGGGTATGTGCTGTGAATGACTCTCAGCTACTACCACATTAAATTTAGCTCAATATCTGTAAAACTGACTGAGTTACACGTGGCAGTTTGATTTTAAACTCACTTTTTAAGCCTCATTGTGTCGTCTTCAAGCTTCTCACCCTGAAATATTAAATGGTAAGTTCTCCAAATGTATTTCCTGAAGAAACAAAAAGAGAAACATTAATTATCATTAGCCTTTTTATTGTTTTTCATTGATTTTTTTATTTTATTCAATGTTCTTACCAGCTGATATGTTTTATTCCACCTTCTCGTTGCTGTTTTAGCTCCATAAATCTACAAATGGCCTTCTTCAGGTCAAGGACTGTTGCATTCTGAACCACAACTATGGCTTTTATTTTCCAAAATGGTGAAAACAATAATAATAATCAATTATTAGACAACTACAAGTGGTTTGTGTTAGGCTCAGACATTCATTAACTGAAAAATAAAAATGGGATTCCCCAAAATACAAAAAAAAAAAAAGGAAAGATTAATGACTTACGCATTATTTCACTGTTTGCCTTTACAACATTCACGGTCATGGCTTGACCATACTCCAAAGCAATCTGAGAATTCACCTCTTCCAGTGTCACCTGAAGAAAAACATCATCCGGTTTCAGAAGAAAAAAAAAACCACAATTGTATGTACATTTTTATACTTGTTTTTTGTCTATAAAATAAGTAAAGGGTATGATATGTTGTTTTGCTGCTTTTATCTAAATTAAAGAACTGATGAGCACAAATTATGCGCTCGTTTGTGTTCTGAAGCCTAAAACTTTTGAAATAATAAAAATATGTTGGTTTTTTTTTTTTCTATGATTGCACCTAGTTCATTTTAGGTGGGTTCAACCTTCACTAAAAGCACTGTAAGACATGCATAAAGTATATTTTTTTGCAAATAAATAAAAAATACAGTTCATTCTGAAATTATAACTAAAGTTGTTTAAACCTTCATTATTCATTTCTGTGTGAGAAAAAAACAAGATCTACTTAAGCCTCAACACATTAATCGAAAAAGACAATGTAATTATTTAATTTGAATGCCTAGTGTCATACAAAAAAACGATGTTTTTAATATCCTCTTGGAGAAAACACCTGGATTGGCAGGTCACACAGTAAAGGGTCCTGCACAAGTCGAGCGAGTCCCTCCTCGAAAATATCCAGAATCTCTGAATGTGGGAGAGCATCTTCATCTTCCTCCTCTGCGAATGTAGCCTCCTCATATGTCAGGGTCTCCCTTTTCACCTCCTCATCCGTCAGGGTCTCCCTTTTCACCTCATCCTGCAGAAACTGTCCTCCTTCAGCTCCAGGTGGAGCGTCTGGACGCTGCTCCTCCTCCATCAACAAAACCACCAACAGTCTGAATTATCTGCTGGAAAAGGCTTCATGTAAATGAAACATTTCACAACGCTTCGTATTTTATAAGAAGACTTGAAAAAGGTGCTACCAAACACATTTAAATTGAACTTATTTATGGCAAATTCCACATCCTTGTACAGCACTAATCTTGTACCGGAAATAAATGCAGCTGTTCATACGAAGTTCCGCTTAGTGAAAATTAAACAAGTTGTTTCAGAATTCATAAAAACACGAAATTAATTCGCTTGTTGGGTTTCATCATAAATATTATCAACTTATTACTGATATTATATTGTTAATATTAAATCAAAAATGTATTTTCGACCGAAAAATACTTCCTGCCTCTGCTTTCGACCGAGCTGTTTTATCTGCGACACTTCCGGTCTGTCCAGCAAAGGATTTATAGTAAACAGAAAGCCTGAATTTTTGTTCAACGATTCATTTTAAATACATTTGCCTTCCGTAACAATATGTTACTGTTTTGTCCGACATGCGGGAACGTTTTAGTCGTCGAAGAGGGACAGAGGTGCATGAGATTCGCATGTAACACCTGTCCTTACGTACACAACGTCACTAGAAAGGTGGGTTTCCGGTCGGTGCACAAACTTTTCAGAAAGATGGTGAGATTTAATGAATGTACGTCTCTCTCTCTTTGTTTTCTCGAAGGTAAACAACCGAAAGTATCCCAAATTAAAAGAGGTGGATGATGTTCTTGGTGGAGCTGCAGCGTGGGAAAACGTGGACTCGACACCAGGTAAAACCCTTTAAATTAAAATATGGTCTGTGGGTTTGTTTATAATTAAACAAGTTTAGGTTTTATTTGGACAATTTCATGACTTCTTTATTCTTTAAAAAAAAAAAAAGATAACGGTTTTGTTGTGGTACCTTTACCCATACCTCCCTCCACCTTCATTTGCCCCACTCTGGACCCTTGAGCAAGGCATTTAACCCCCATCTGCTCCCAGTCTCTTGAAATGAGTCCTCGTGACTCAGTGACCTGTATAAATAAAGGTTAAATAAATTTGTCTACAGGATTTCTCCCCTTTTATTTGAAACAGGTTTTTACTTGCCCACTATGGGTATTTGTAATAATCATTTAACACATTATAATGAATTGTGTGTTAACGTGTTGGTAAATGTACAATCCGTTTGAGCTGTATTGCTAATTTCTGAAGTGTTAATTCATTGCAAACTATAAAATAAAATATAAAAAGGTTGTTGTGAACTACTTCACACATTGACTGATACTGAGCTGGTTCTAGTTTGTGTGGGTTAATAAATATGTTGGATTCAGACAAGCGCAGAATCTCAAGTTTGTATTTGTACCGTATTTTTTTGTGGAAGCAGGCTTTGATGGCAGACTGGCATTTTTGTTTTTATTTCTGTGCAGAAACTTGTCCAAAGTGTGGGCATCCTCGGGCGTATTTCATGCAGATTCAGACCCGATCAGCTGATGAACCAATGACTACTTTCTACAAATGCTGCAATCCCCAGTGTGGACATCGATGGAGAGATTAAAAGATTTTCACTTGTTTACGTCAGGTTGCACACATTTGGTAGATAATTTAAGTGTTCCTTTCATGATTTTTATTGATAAAATAATACCCGTGTACAGCAGTCAAATAAATGTACTTCCATAAGTATACATCACATTTAGAGCAGTACATTCATTCAAATTTGAGGCAATCCATATCTTTTTATTTTGCACAGATCTGTCTTGATTTAAATCCTAAAAATAAAAAAAAATCAGATGCACATTTGAGTCGGAGTGAGTCGATAACAGTTGCTGACTTTACTCGATAAGCACTAGTGAATTATAAAAAGGACATTCTAAGGTGTGTCAGCATAGGTTCACTGTCAGTAAAATATCCAGTGAATTCACTTATTTAGCAACAAGTTTAATTACTTTATTGAAGCTTATTAATATCTCACTAATCAGTTGACATTCCTTTGTCTCTAGCATGCATCTTAGCAATGAAAATGATGGTTTTGCACCCATGTTTTTAAATATCTTATTACTTTGCAAATATCTGGGAGCTTATAATCGACAGTATGAAGTGGAGCATCAGCATGATGCAGCGAACTCATTCAGCACTACCAAGATGCCGTGGTTGATCTTTTATTTGTGACAGCTGTCACCGTCACTATACTCTGAATAAGTGAGCATGTGCTTTATTCACTCGACTAGCTGACGAGACAAGTAAAAGCCAAACAACATGTTGCTTTTACTCACCAGAGAATCATCTTTTAATGAACACAAAATGTGTATTTAAACTTGTGCAAATGTTAACTTGATTATCAAAACTAAATACATTGAGGACAAAAGCGTTGATGGGCAACGACTAAACAGTCACTAAACATTGTGACTACCGACTGGATCCTAGAATATAAATAAACGTAGCATGTAACATAAATGCAACAGTTTAAACGAGTACTTTTTCACATTACACAAGCAGTGATGGTAAGTTAGTAACGAAGGAAAAACTCAAGTTTACGTGAACAAAATGAAACGGGCAACAAATGTTATCAATTCTCAACATATTAAAATATCAGATAAAATGTCTAGGATGAAAACATTATCCCCTTCATATGCATATTTCTTACCAAATTTCACAGAAGATTGTTAAATAACATTTTCACAGTTTTTTTTGTATTTTTCCTCCTCCACATGCATAACCTCACATAAATGGCTGCAGGCAGAAAATAGTCAGCATCTGCAACCTGTCAGGTTCTGGTTCTTTTAGTCCCCTTTTTTTAATATTCTGCTGCTCAACAATTTGTACATTTGAAATAAATTTTATACATTAGAGAAGTATACAGAAGGATATATACAGAAATATCCTGTGAGCAGATGAGAAAACTGCAAGTACAGTGAAAGAGCGCTACACAACACTATGCAGAAATGAAAAGGAGGAAGCTGCCGTCACTACCAGCAGAGCGGACTGCGAGTTCGTGTAGATATACATGGACTGGTACATGGCTTTGTGGCAAACAGCTGTCGGTGGTTAGCAGATACGCTTGTATGTGTAAATATAGCCCTTGCAGTAAGGGCAGGTGTGTGTCACATCCTTGAGGTCATCAATCAGGCAGGGAATCAAACAGCAGCCAAGATCACACCTGTGAACGACAAAAACAAGAGCTTACATGTTTGAACTGTAAATCCTTCTTCAATGTGCTGTGTTGATTTGTGTGCATGCCGGTCTATGAGATGCAGCTCTATGTGGAGACTTCAAAGTAGCAATGCTATAAGATGCCTGAAGTCTCAAATCATGACAAAGTATCTGGCTGAGAAAAGGTCTTAATATTTGCATTTTGGATACAAAGAAGTAGCTTAAGGCCGAATGTGATGGATTATTTTGTGAATGTGAATTTGTAAATCTTTGCAGGGTGAAGGGCTAACTGTCCCACGGCTGAAACACTTAAGAATAGCGAGGCTTATCATTTGCTCAAGGGATGGGATTTTTTTTAATAAACTCCACAAAAGCCAGTTTTTGTTGAGCTATCGTTCTTCTGTGTTTCGGAGTCTGAGTCAGAGCTGATCATGTTCTGTGAGCGAGCGCTTTGATTGGCTAAGACACACCAGTCATTAGCAGAGTTACAACACATTCCCCCCTTCTTAATAATTTAATACTTTGCATCAACAGCTCTGGGACACACCTTTCAAGAAATTTTGGGATAAGAATTTTCTGAAAATATTCTCTGAAATTCTGTTTGATATAGCCTTTAAAACAGCAGCAACTCATTTCAGTTGGATAACGTCTGCTTTCCTACACCACATGTAGAATAAGACTTGTGCTTATTGAAAAACAAGTTAAAAAAATCCTGTTAACTTAAAGGTTTGACTGAAGAGGCATCTAGCATGAAGAAAGAAAACTTTTGAATTAATGAAGTTTTTTTTAATTTATTCTAATTTCAAATACCATTTTATTAACTTACTTTTTAATAAATATAACCTGAAGAGAGCAGAGTGGATTTAAAAAAAGTGCAAAGACGTGCATGAGCTCTTCACTTGCTGACATTAGGTTTTTTCATACAAGCAACATTTCCAGCTAAAAGTAATTCTATCAGAATAAGAGTATGTCACTAAAGGTCAGACTTGTTAACGTCTGTTAATTTTAACTCGGCGCAAGTCAGAAGCGCATGTAGACAGATTAATGATGCCAAATAAATTTGTAACAAAACCACCCAAACTTTTTCCTCGTCTTAACGTTTCATGACCGACACCGATAGAAATATTAAAATTTAACTAAATGCTTCTACGTTTGAAAATTCAAAAACCCAATGCTGCCGTGCATCTCATGGTTGAGCATGGTTTTACCACCTTCTTATATTAATGATGAAGGTTTCAGTAATTTACGTTACCGCAGCATGATCCTAACATCATTTAAATATGTCAAAAACTTGAAGCTAAATCATAGCTGAGCTAAATAAAACTATACACGTTACTCCTAACCCCTGGCTGACTTACCCTACAAAGAAACAGAAGAGGCAGAAGAGTGTGTTCATGAGGCCGACGTCGTGAGAGATGCGGGTGACGATAGCCTGCTGGCAGTGTGGACACACGGTCTGCACCGGTGAGGTCTGAAACATTTCACCCTGCAGTACGGTCACAGTGGTGGCTGCACCTGGAGGAGCCAGGACGGTCGCTGTGTGTCCTCCCATGTGGACAAAGTGACTGGGACCTGGACCCGTATGTCCTGGCATTGGCTGAGCAAAGTGACCGGGCGGAGGTGGGTAGGGGCCCCCTGAAAGGAATGAATAATATACTCATTTATTTTTTTTTTAAATTGCATTCAAAAACAAAAAGCGTGAACTGTCTTGAGCTGTGTAGAAAAGAGGAATCATATTTAAGAACTTGATGAGGCCTTGAAAATATACTGGTGTTATAAATGAACGTGCTACTCAAGCATGAGCAGATAAAACGACAATGTATCTAAAAGGAGTATTGCTAAAAAAAAAATCCACAAAATTAGTCACAGGCATTTTTAGAGTTTAATGTCTGAAGGAGTCATTGGAGTATGATTGCTTTTTCCTCAAGAAAAAAAACTAAAAGACATTTGTGGACAGGTGGAGCACCTTGTGTTGGCATAGGCATGGGCATGGGACCTTCTCCAGGGACATGTGGGGGTAGAAAGCCTGGTTGGGGGCCCTCATAGGGTGGAGGTCCATAATCTGGAGGAAATGGATGTCCTTGTGGAGGAGCTGTTCTTACTGTTCCTGAAAGATAACACACAAAAACAACATGAGCACAGATCTGCACAAGGAGGGAGTCAAGATACGTCTAATCAAGCGAACAGCATATCTGACACCAGTGTCGTAAATACTGGAACTAATAAATCACACGTTCAGATTCACAGCACCGTTTGATGCAGTTAAAGTTCCCATTATTTATTACGGCAACTCTATGATAATGTGTAGCAAGAAGTGGGTTACAAAGTTAACTTGAGATCAAAAACTGAAAATAAAGGCCAACAGCTTTGCATAAAATTTTACATGAAGGTTGAAAACACAGCATAAGATAATCCACATTAAATCCCAAATCAAGTGAACGTCAGATTATAATGAAATATGATTCAGTCATGTCGTTTTGGAAAACGCTACGTTGTTCTCTGAAACTGGACAAAACAAAGATCTACTCTTAATCTGAGTTCACACTGAGAACTGAACTGACCTTTTGCCCCCCCCCCCCCCCCCTATTATTTAAAGAGGGTTTTCAATCCGTCGGTACTTTTGCTCTTGAACACAACTACACTCCTTCCTGTTCGCTCAGGTCAGCAGACCAGCTGCTGCCGAGCATCCCAAAAATATAACGAAAGCTTTGGAGGGGATCGTGCTTTCTCCACTGTTGCTCCTAAAATGTGGAACAACCTGCCTTTGAGCATCAGACAGGCGTGCTCCCCGTGTTTAAATCACTTCTTAAAACTAATCTCTTCTCTTTGGCTTTTGACACCACGTGAAACATTGATTTTTAGTCCAGTTTTAGTTTATTTTAACGTTTAACTGCTCAATCCATTTATTTTTGTTTAACATAAGGCTGTTTTTGATTTGCTTTCATACGTTTTATTATGTATTGTGACTGCTATTTGGTTCTATTAACTGTAACTGCACAGCACTTTGGTCCTGCGGTTGTTTAAAGTGTTTTATAAATAAAGCTGGTATGGTATGGTCTGACCCTGACCCAGGACTTATTAACATTCAATACACTCTTACCAGGTTGTCCATTCTTCTCCTCAATGAGAGGAGCACTGGGACCTCCGGGATACGGAGGGGGAGGATCACTGGACATACTGGCTACAGATTTAGTCTCGTAGATGGATCCCACACGCCGACTTCGATCACAGCTCTGCAGGCCAGCTTACCCTCTGTGGAATAAAACATGCACACTTTGAGACTCAACTCATTTCTCTCAAAACCATTTTTTACAAAACTGCTAACTTTCAAATGAGGATAAATACATATAAACACAATATACATAAACACCATCTGTCTGCAAACAGGTCAAAAGTTTGACTTCAACAAAAAAAGCTGCAGTACTGAAAACCCCAGATAATTATCAGCAAGATAAAGAAAGTAACAAGGATTTGTCCTTGCCATTTCATTACACTGCTCAAGTTTCAGCAAGAAGTGCAGCTTAATCTCAGCTTAAATCATGCATGTGATGACTACATGCATTGCTCAAGTTTTCTTTGACAAAGTCCAGAACATTTAGGAACATTCGTGTACGAAGACGACTCAACTGCAGATGGTTCAGATTTACCTGTTGCTACTGAGAACAAAAAGTTTCCACCTGAGGAGCCGGACAACTCTACCAGGAGCTGTGATGTGTTCAATAATATTAATCTTAGTCATCAACATCAATTTGATACATAGGCACACTTTTTTTAAAACGTTATGCATTTGTACTAATTAATGCACACAATGAATGACCCTTGTTATTTATAGCATAACAAAAGAATGTTTTTTTTTTAAATTACTACATATGATCACTGTCCAAAACTGAAGTTTATTGTTTCTAACAGCTAGTTTCTCTCGTTTAATTGTGAGAAAGTTATTTTTAAATCCACTGGTGGATCATCCTGCTCGAAGCTACTTGAACGAACAGATGCACTGGTTTAACCTTAAACTGGTGCGTTTATTTAAAATAAGCGGTTATTCTAAGAACTTGTTTGCTAGCTAACGAATAAGCGACGAGATGATTAATTAAATATCAGCTCAAACACACATTCTATATCATTTCTTTCATTTAGCTGAAGGCAACTGACAGCGTTTATTTGAGCTCAGCTTAGTCGTTCGCTTTTAAACAGCTTAAAAGCTAGCTGTCATTAGCTAGCCAGCTAACGTCGCCATGATTCTGGAAACAGAAACTAAAGATTAAAGATGCGGAAACACGCACATTAAGTTAACGCATTGAGCATTTAGACATAGGTTCTTTCATTTTTATAACGAAACGAATGTCGACCAGCAGAAAGTCAAATTACCTGAATGTGTTAGAAACACGCCCAACCCGTGTTGTGACTGAAATTGTTTTTAACGTTAGCTGCTCCGGCGCTTCTGAGAGCCAACATCCGCTGAGACGGATTTACGCTGACGTCATTATTTCTGATGCACACCGGTGTCCTGGCTGTATTTGTTGCCCTGTCAAAAAAGGGTACTACGGAAGCCTGCTCACTGTAACGATTAGTGTCACATGTTGTAACACGGTGATACTGGACGGCAGCACAAATCTGTATTTAAAATGATAATAGCAAAAACATGTTTTTGTATTATTTAATAGGATAATTTTATCATGAACACAGTTGAACCGCAAAGGGAAAAAAAAAGTTTATTTTGAAAGTGTTTACCGTAAAGCTTTGCATGTTAGCCAGAACTTACACATATTTTAAAAAGTGATTTTTTTGTTGTTGTTGTTGCTACATCACTTTAAAGCTCACATTTATTTTCCAACAGGTTTGTCATGTGGAGAAAAATTCACCAGAAAAGTGGAAAGTGTAGGCGGATTGAGAGCCAGGCAGCATCACTGCCATCTAGTGGACTAACCTCAGAACTACAGGACCAAAATTCAAAAAGGGTCAGTAATGTCAGCACACCAAAATGTTCCGTCAAATGAACATAAATGTCATCGAAAATTTCAAGAAGGCATATAGATTAATTATAGTTTGCTGTTAGTTTACTAACGGACAGTTTGTTAAAGTACAAAATCAAAATATTTTAGAGTATGTCAGTGTTTCCCGTACCATTATAGTGCCATGCAGTAGATGTATGACTTTCATACGTATTATTCTATTCCAGTGGGTTGCATTTCTTTTTACAGACTACATCTCAGTTTTTCTTTTTCTTTCTTTCAACTGAGCCTATGACATTTCATTCTAATACAGTTTGGTGTATGAATGACAATAAAAGTCTATCTATCTATCTATCTATCTATCTATCTATCTATCTATCTATCTATCTATCTATCTATCTATCTATCTATCTATCTATCTATCTATCTATCTATAATCATTAAGTCTATATACATATGTGTGTATGTAAATATACACTAGACAAAAATAAATGAAACACTTCTGTTTTTGCTCCCATTTTCATGAGCTGAACTAAAGATCTAAGACTTTTTCTATGTACAGAAAAGGCCTTTTTATCTCAAATATTGTCCACAATTAGTGCAAATATGTGTTAGTGAGCACTTCTCCTTTGCTGAGATGATCCATCCACTTCACAGGTGTGGCATATCAAGATGCTGATTAGACAGCATGATTATTGCACAGGTGAGCCTCAGGCTGACCACACAGCACAATGCCACAGATCACACACTCCCTCAGAACTTAAGATATCTGTGGCATATGTGCTGTGTGATAAAACTGCACATTTTAGAGTGGCCAGCCTTCTTATTACATCTCTGTATGATAAATTGTGTACTTTAAACTTACTGACTGTTCAGGGGAAGCTTGTTTCTGTCACCTGAAAACAAATAAAATGTCAAATGATGTCATAACTTTTACTTTCAAAGTCATAATTTTGAGATACAAGGTCATAATGAATGAATCTGGAATACAGTGGTGAAATAAATACAGCTGGATTTGCTTTTGAGGGGTAAAATTAGCTCTTTATGTGCTAAAACAATCATGAGTATATGATAATTCAGTGTCACTTAACTAAACGTAGGTTGCAAAAACTGCTTGGATTGTTTAATTTCAGTTTGTGAAAGAGGTAAAGTCAGAGGACGGTTGAGGGTTGAGTTTCACTGGAAATTAAGACCTTTTCATAAAACTTACATAAGTCAATATACACCAAATATTCATTGATATGTTTAAATAAAATAATACAGAAAAAAACATTACACTAATATCTTAATTGCTGCTTTATTTTATAAATATAAACAAAACTGATCAAACTAAAAAGAATGAGGAGGAAAAAAAAGAAGAGGATTCATAAAGTGTCAACAACTGTGTAACGCTGAGAACAGCCCGTCAGTCGTCCATGCACGACTGATAGGTGGGGATCATTAATTTGATTTTTTTAAAGGCATCTGGGCCTCCGTAGTGTTCAAACATCTGCAGAGTCTCCTGAATCAGGTCAGCAATGTTTTCTCTTCTCATGTGGCTGCAGTCAATGGCGTCTCCAAGATTCTCTGAGCAACAAAAAAGACAAAGAGACAGTCAGCATGAGAACAATCAGCATGCTCCGGGTCATCACAGTCTGTGAGGTGATATCAGGGCTCGAAAAGAACCACCTGCCACCACGCTGCACTAATTTGCTTCAGACTGAATTGGCAAACACCATCCTTCCTGTCTGGCTTCAAACCCAGTGGACTAACTAAATCTAATGTACCCCTCTGCTGCGGCCTGTTACGACTGAATGGTAGAAGAGTTTTTAACTGCTCAGCTGAAAGTTTACACTTTTACAAACACAATGATGGCGTGTCAGAGAGATTTATTTGTCATTCGCATCTCATGTGGTTCGTGTGGTGGAACGTGATGGGTCCCAGTTGCATCCATCAATAAAATGTAAAAAAAAAAAAAAAACTAATAAAATTTAAGATATGAACTAAGAAAAACATCAACTAAATAATACACTAAGCACTAATAGCATAAAAACATTACGTCGACCAGCACCGTGTGTGTGTGTGTGTGTGTGTGTGTGTGTGTGTGTGTGTGTGTGTGTGTGTGTGTGTGTGTGTGTGTGTGTGTGTGTGTGAGGCTGCAATTAGCTCACAGCTTGGTAGGGATAGTATTCAATTCAATTCAAAAATACTTTGTTAATCCCAGAGGGAAATTATATAGTTTTATTATATTATATTATATTATATTATATTATATTATATTATATTATATTATATTATATTATATTATATTATATTTGTATACACAAAGATTCATTCAGAGACTCAGATTAAGGGAAAGCACATAACCACTCTGACAGACAAATAAAAACCCTCTAAATTGAGCAAAACCAAAGAAAATCTAACGGTGCAGTCTATAGTCCAACACATGGAAAAGACAGCATGTAACACTGGTTTTAATCTCTTTACATTGGTTTCCGCTTTAGAATTCATTTTAAAATTGTATTCTTACTTTTAGAGACCTGAGTGGTCAAGCCCCAGTCTATATTTCTGACCTTATAGCCCTACTCTTCTTCTCGGAGCCTCAGATCTTCCAGTCAAAGGCTGTTAATGGTCCCACAGACTCATTTTAAGACCAGAGGGGATAAAGCTTTTAGGGCTGTGGCCCCCAATCTGTGGAATGCATTGCCTCTGACTTTGTGCTGCCTTGATTCTCTTTTAAAAAGCAGCTGAAGACACATTTGTTCAGATTGGCTTTTAATTAGTTTGATTTTGTCTTATGTCATATGCATGTTGTTTTATCTTTTGTGTTTTTTATAATTTATCTTGTGTTTTTATGTCTTGTATTCTGTAACGCACTTTGTGGTTTCCGACCTATAAAAGGTGGTATATAAATAAAATGTATTTACTTACTTACTTATGTACTTACTTAATTACTAGGAACAAACACAGCGAACGTTAGCCCTATTCACCTCATTCTACTCAATATCCTTGTTACACATCAGGCCTCCGGAGTCAGGGAAGTCCTGCAAATCTTCAAAGTGCCCCAAATTCATTAATTAAATTGTGTTATTGTTACTGCCATGGGAAGGAATGAAGAGAGAAAAGACTCCCATAACTCATCTAATTAGCTAACTGACCACTTTCTTTCCTAAGAGATTTACATCTGGGGACACCACAGAAATGACAATGATCACATGATCAAAGTTGGCATCAGGATTGAGATAAAGAAGCTAACAAAATGGATGGGGGACGTTATGTAAAGGTCATGGATGTTTTCACTTAATGTTAAATTAATATAGAACCATGTGTGTGGAGTCAAGAGAGTCCTAATAACTGATCAACTGTGACGCCTTCAACAACAGTGAGCCGTGAAGCAGAGGTTGTCTGTCTGAAAACAGGTATTTAAACTTTTTCTAACTCTTTCTCCGCAGGCAGACCATGAACCAGAGCGTCATGTTACATCATGTATGCTTGTTTTCAATGCTGCACCCCTTGAAAGAAGTAAATTGGGTTGAAAAATCTTCTTGGATTCTTCTTCTGTGGCTTATTTGATTAATGAGTTAATTATAGGATAATTAAAAATATCCAACAAAAACCCCAACTTTGGAAGATGTGCTGTAAAACGTACTGTTTTTGTTCTTGAAGATGTTAAAAACAGTCAGGATCTGCCTGAAGTAAGGCACCAGAGCCTCTCCCGCCCTGTCTGTAGACACCATCAGATGCTGCAGGACTTTTATGGTTGTACACATCACCTGATGGTTCCTTGTGTTCAGAGCATCTGGAAGGCAAGATGAAAGGCAAAGGTCAGAAATGAAGGCTCAGGTAAAACTGGATAAACGGGAAAAGACTGAAAAGCAGAGATGGAGGTTACATGAAGTAAAGCAGTAATTTTTGTGTGTGTGTGCTTAGCAGGCACGCACAAAAGATACACAGCAAATTTACTTTCTCTTTTCCATAAAATAATTTTCTTTACAGTTGGGATCAGATTTGGACAAGGCTCCCTGCAATCAGCGATTTCAAAAGCACCGGGGAGGCAGGAGTAAGTGAAAGCCAATCACTGGACTAGTTGGTACTTCATCTCCAACTGAGAGAGAGAACAAAAGAAAACAACGGTGGTAAAGATGGAGGGATACAGAGATCAAGAGACAAATGGAACAGCAAGAGAAACCAGTAGAATAGAAAAAAATACAAAAGAACAAGAGATGCAAAGATTAGACAGAGAAAAGAGTTAATTAACCCGCAGATATGACAAATTTTAAATCTTTTGTCAAGTTGTTTATGGATCATGAAATTGCATCCACACCAAGGACAACAGCAAAGTACGCCTCAAAAACAATTTTCTGATATAAAAATGAGAATATATTGGCATTATTCTTACTATTTTGTTTGTAAGAACCTAAACAATGAATTGAACATAAAAAAAGATATAAAAAGTGAATACATTACACAAAATCTGGAACTTTTCAAGTTTTTGAATTGTCACGTTCTTGAAAGTTGAAAAAGTAGATTTTAAAAGCAACCTTAAAAGTAAATCATCTGGTTTGGACAATGGACTTCTTTTTTTGTGTGCATGTGTTGAAAAACAACCCCGTTGCAGTAGTGGCCTTTAAGTCTCTTAAATAATTTGAGTTTGAAAGAAATCACCACTAAAGAATGTTTGATTTTCACTTGTGTTCAAGATGACAGCACATAAGTGACACTGACTTTGTTTTCACAAGAAACTGTATTTCAGAATCTCACAACTCGGTCTTCATCTGCTGCAGGGCAGCTCCCCTTTAAGGACACCTTGAAGCAGACAATATATCGAGCTAATAAGCTGCTTAAAAGATGATTTTTGTTATATAGACTGCCTTTGGATCTACTCAGCATAACTGTGCTGTCAAGGGAATTTTAGTCAAATACTCCTGCAACTCTCGCTGTGTTGTTGTTCGTTAGCAGGTCTGTGATATTTCTATGGAGCTGGCAGAGTGAACACAGAAATAAAAAAAGAAACGTTATCCAGAAACAAAATCTGAAATAAATGTCCACTGCTCCACAACTTTTGAATGCATAAATAAAAACATATTTGCATACATTTGTACTTTTTCATCTTAAATTAGAATCATTTCCTCACATCTTTCCAGTAAAGTTTATGCAGTTCTATTCAAGTGAAGAATAACTGTTACGTTGGACTGACTTAAAATGCACAAATTAATTTTGTCTTGGTTGCGGCACATTTAAAATACTCTGTATCGACAATAATACCGTCTTTAAACTGTCTTCAAGTTGTTTTATTTTGTTGTTCTAGAAACAGATGTTAAAGATGTGATGACATCAGCAAACAGATAGAGGCGGTTTGTTTTGTATGAATGATGAATTGTGAGTTTGAACACCCCAAGACTTACTTCTAATGGGAATGATGAGTTTGGGAATGACAGGAAGGATTCGGGGGCCTCCGTGATCCAACAGGTCGTGGACCCCCTGGCGGGCGAAGCTCTCGTATGGATGAGCAGTCTCACACAAGCCGTCAAAGAATAGTGGCAGGTAGTGATCGTAGTCTATATTGTCAAAGTCCACCTTAGAAGAGGAGCACACATTTACATGACAGGAATTGTCTCCTTTTTTATCTGCAGAAATGGAAATAGGGAAAAGATGACAAAGTTTTTGTAACAATATTTTAAACGTTTTTGTTTTTTTTTTCTTCTGGAAATCCGTACATCATCTTTTACCCGCTTCTTCCATTTTGGGTCACGGGGGCCACTGGTGTCCATGTCCATCACTGTGTGAGAGATGGTGTACACCCTGGACAGGTCTCCATTCCATCACAGGGACACATAGAGACAAACGAGACAAACAACCATTCACTCTCTCACTCACACCTAGAGACAATCTAGAGTTACCAATCAGCCTAACATGCATGTTTTTGGTCTGTGGGAGGAAACCGGAGTACCTGGAGAAAACCCACACATGCACGAAGAGAACATGCAAACACCACCCAGAAAGGTCCCTGGCCAGGATTAAGATATATATCTATATAGATATATATAGATATATATATATAGAATAGAAACAGTTTTTATTTTCTGTCTGGGTACATGGATTTCTTATAAACAATTTATATATTTATATAGATATATATATATTTTTATATATATATATATGTGCTTTTTTATATTTTTTATATATATATATATACATATATATAT